ACTCATGGACGCTAAAAACAATTGAGGCCATCATCAGACCCCTCCGCTGCGCGCCGGCTTTGTGCATTTTCAATAATTTTTTTAGAGATGTTGCCACAAAAATTTTCACTTGGCTTTTTTTTGGGTGGTATGTGTTAGCACTATACTTGTTAATAAAAAAAACCCAGCTTTTATAGTATGACTTGAAAATAATTATTTTTAATTATTTTTAATTAAGCATGGCGACTAATTCCCCCCGAGCAATCGAACTGGCAATTTATTTGCATGTTCCTGAGTGATCAATTATCAATATCCGATAAAAATTAAGATTTATACTATGACTTGAAAATCCGTTTTTTTTCTCACCTGCGTACTTCTAAACCCCCTAAGTACGGCCAGCCAGGTGTTCGGATTATCGAAGAAGAGTCGTCCACGCAGGTTATAACGGAAAATCGTGATTTATAAAATCACTTGGCCAAAAGTGTCGTCAGCTCTTGGACTATCGGTGAACAACTGCAGGTGCTGAAGATTATCCTCCTGAATATTTTGCGACAGATTGTATATTTGCACGAGGACAGCATCGTACTCAACGCGAACACGGTCGCGCAGTCCCGCACTGTCGACTGACTGTCGAAAGTGCCTTGAGTGTCCATAAGAATCACAGCGATCTTTCACCGCTCGCCAAAGTAGCAGGATAAACCTTCGACCACATCAATATTCCCGTGGTATGCCTGTCGGAACCTCCCCTCCATGGAAAACACTAAGTGGCTCGTCCTCGGCACCCAACCAGGAATCAGTATTGTTTTGTAACGTGTACTGTGATTAATGTGATAAATTATTGGTAATCATTCAATAATTGAATTGTGTCGATCAATGATGATCGTGAGTATGAAATAATACGAACTTGATAAATATCTGATTATCTATGTGTTCTTTTTTATTTTTTAATTTAGATATTGATGATTAAAGTAACAAAACACTAGTTATCAAATCTGTGAATAACACTTACTTTGTTGTTCATATAACGAAGAAAAAAGTCAAGAAGGAAACTTTTGCTTTTTCTGAAGGCACCCGCAACAGATACCACAACTACATTTCTATCTTTCACGTCGTCATGTAAGAAAATTTCTGACAATGCAGCTTCATTTAATTCGAAGGTATAATGATCTGGATGGGCAAGTACCACTTGCACAAGTCGCCCACCATCCACCAGGTCCATGTCTTGCATTTGTGCATCCATCGGTGAAAGCCTTTCTATCCGATCAAGCTTTCCTAGGTGATCTGCAAAAGAAAATTGGATTAAAACATCTCTATTGGAAATAATGGATAATAATTAATAATAATAATGCAGATAAAAAAGATTGAATCATTGGAAGAATGAATCAAGAGAAAAAATCTATTTCATTATTTTATCTTCAATATTAATAGAGCATCTGGAAAATAAATTTTACTTGTTTTAAATTACAAAATTAAATCAGTGTCATCGATACTCCGTTTCTCAAAAGGGTATGTGGATATGGACGGATATGGATAGGAAATTATACACAGTCGGCTATCAGTCTACAAATCGTTAATTGTAGACGCTCGCTCGTTTAAAAAGCACATGAACGGTCGGCCCGTATACGAATATGAGGGTGTAAGATGTCCCGCGAAAAAAAGTTAAATATGAACTTTATATAATATATATATATATAGGCAGAAATCTCTCCGGCCGTGGAGCGCTTCCCACCAGCAAGGGTTTCCGTCACGCAGCTGTGCAACTGCCTTTTTTTTTAATTACGTTGAAAAAATTCTTTTATACTCTTGAAAGTATAGGTAATAAAGACCTATAAACATATTTGTCATTTCTTTCATTCTTTTCCCGAAAAAAATTCTTAAAATTAGGTTACTTTTTGACGCTCTAGTGTGGTGTTACCCTTTAAATAAAGAAACATATACGTATTCAATTCTTGTACATCTTTTTTCCACTCGTCAAACATTATTTTGTACTCATCTCACAGTGGCGCGGATGACGATCTACATACAATAAAAAATTTAAAAAATTAAAAATGCAAGAGAAGAAAATAAGAGAGAGAAAGAAGAAAACAATATTGTGATAAAAGAATGGGAAGTCCAAAAAGGAGATGCTGTAGAAAAAGCGATAGAAGAAATATTACCAGAAAGAACTCCACATTAGAAGTTATGGTAAATTCTGGACAAGAAGAGGAACAAATATGATTACGGAGAAATTGAAAAAAAAAGAACAGAAAAGGATAGTTATGGTTAAAAAGAAAATCTTAAAAGAGAAAAACATAATCGTTGACAATTAACGTTTACGCGAGCGTTACTTTTGTAGTAACTTACAATAATTCCTTTGCGTAAACGGGATTTTGTAGTAACTTACGATAATTTACTCCGTGTAAACGAGTGATATATTGTAAGTTACTACAGAAGTAACGCTCGCGTAAACGTAGTAAATGTCCTAAAACTTGGAAGGTAAAAGACAGATACAGAAGAAAATACGTTTGGTAGTGGAGCAGAAGCGAAAAAGGCAAGGAAAAGAAGAGTGAAAATCAAATATAGGAAATTACAAGTAATTGAAAGAAAGTTTACATGGAAAGGAGAGGGAGGTTTAAAAGAGCTAAATTTTTGGAGCAGGCAGAGTTCTACTGGCCCATAAATAATGCAGAAAGAAAACGAGTTTAAAATATGGCCATTCCTACGGGCTACGTGTCGGCGGAGTCTCTATAGTACAATATTATTAAGCATAATATTTTCTTCTTATTCAATAATATTATCATTAATTAAAATATTATATCAAAGTAAAATATGTATTGACATCTCGGTATGTTAAATTCAATTCAATTTATATAATCTTATTGTATTTATATGTATAATCTTATTGTATCCAAAGACTATGGTATACTATCATGGTTCATGCTACTAGATTTTTTCAAAGATATGAAAAACTGTTTCTTAAAACAGTATCTTTCTAAATTTAATTTTAAGGTATATATTTATACATATAACTGAATTCAAGTCTGTATAGAAAGACTTCTTTGAAAGTCTTAGCTTCAAAATTTTTTTAAATACACTGTCTTTTAACTCGAGGCAAATAATCATGACATAATTAGCGCAAAATACTAATCTTTTATCTTTAATTGCAAAAAATTATATAATAGAAATAATATAGATGTTTCGTGTACACTACTGATGTTAGCCCCGGCCATAGAAATAAACATACAAGTCCATTCGGCTCCACGGGAAAGACTAAAAATCGTATAAAGTGACGTTATTTTTTTTTTCTTCAAATAAAGGAAAGACCGTGGGTGTAGCCCATGTGGTCATAGTAGCAAAACCGAATCTAATTGCATCACATCAAAACAAAAGAGACTTCGACTAAATATTAACATGAACGCCTCAATAAAAGCGTCCCAAACAGAAGTTAACTGCGTAATATAAACTCGTAATCTTGTAGAACTTTGAACTCGAAACTGTGTAAGTGTATGAATGTATGTATAATTGTTCGTGTATGTCCGCGGTGTCGGAAACTCGGTATTGCCGTAGGTGCGTTAAGCCCAAGGAATCGCGCGGATCACTTCCCCCTGCGGCCAAAGTGACGTTATCGCACACAC